ACTGGTTCCCCATTAACAGCCGATTATGTGCAGTTCGGCTTCGGGGTTCATGTAGAATCAACAGGCACCGCGGAGAGAGACGAAACTTGTTTGTGATCTCCGTGTACGCTCCAACCGACTGCAGTGGCGACCCGGTCAAGGACGAATTCTACCGAGATCTACAACAGCTCTTGACTAATGCTAAAAAGTCAGATGTCGTTATCTTTGCTGGGGATTTGAATGCACGGGTTGGCCGCCTGTTACCATACGAATGCCACCTTGGTGGTCATCACGCGCTCGATGAGAACCGCTCTGATAACGGAGAGAGACTTCTCACATTGTGCGAGGACAATCGTCTGTTTCTTTCGAGCACTAACTTCAGGCGTACGAAGAAACGTTCCGCAACGTGGCGTCCCTCTTCACCAACACAACTGTGGTCTCAAATTGATCACATTGCAATTAGATTCAGATGGCGCGGCAGCGTATTGGACTGCAGGTCCTTTTGGTCCACTTTCGTTGATTCAGATCATGCTCTGGTCTGCGCGAAAATCTGTATGTGTTTTGGAGGATCCCGAAACACGAAGCACCGCAAGATTGATGTAAACAGATTTACTGATTCCTCTGTCCAGACGAGCTATCAGTCTTCATTGGCATATGCACTCAGTTGCAATCCATCGCAAGAAGTGGAATAACACTGGACTTGTATACGGAAAGCGATGATCATTTCCGGACAGTCAAGATGCGGTCTAACTCGACACCCTTTGAAGTCTTGGATCTCTGCTCATTCTCTAAAGCTGTTCGAACGCCGCAAAGATATCCCAGCGAAATCAGATTGCAACGAGCGGCGCCGTTCTGCCAACCGGCTGCGCAAGCAAAGTCTACGCAAGGATCGCGAGACATGGTGGTCTAAGCGTGCTTTAGAGGTGGAGACTGCTGCCCTCTCTGGTAACACCCGCAGGCTTTTCCAACTCATTCGGTCCACTGGCCTCAGGAAGCCTGGTGTCAGTGAGGTCATTTGTGAAGTGGATGAGTCTCCGATCACCAACCAACAGAGGCGAATGGACCGCTGGGCCGAGTACTTTCACTCGCAGTTCAACTGGCCTCCACCATCCATCAGTACATGCAGTACACATTGTTGTCCACCCTGGCTCGTCCTATTGAATCCACCCAGCGAAGCAGAAGTCTACCTCGAGATCCGACGCTTGAAGCGCTTCAAGGCTGCCGGCTTAGACGGACTTCCTCCGGAGCTATTCAAGTACGGTGGTGTGGCGATCATTAAACAGCTAACCGCGCTGTTCGCAAAAATTTGACATGAAAAGCAAGTGCCTTCCACTTGGGGAGAATCAGTTATTGTCCCGATTTTCAAGAAAGACGCTCGCACTTCATGTGCAAATCATCACGGGATTAGTCTTATTTCGGTTGTCTCTAAGCTATTGGCATCCATCCTGCTTCGTAGACTATCCCCAGTACGTGAATCATACTACCGTGAAGAACAAGCTGGTTTCCGTCCTGGCCGCAGATGAGTGGATCAAATCTTCACGCTCCGCCAGCTCCTCGAACATCGCCACATTTATCACAGGCCCACTATCGTTGCATTCCTGGACATACGCGGCGCTTTTGACTCCGTTGATCGACCTGCTTTATGGCGTTGCTTGCTAAAGAACGGGGTGCCAGAGAAATATACCGCCATCTTACGAGCACTTTACCTTCATACATTCGGCAGAGTGAGGGTCTGTGGCAAGCTTTCGTCGCAATTCGCTGTCAATAGCGGTGTGCGACAGGGCTGCCCTATGTCCCCATTCCTCTTCAACTTCGCAATCGAAGACGTTCTGTCGAATGCTTTAGAAGGTTTCCAACATTTTGGCCTAGAGCTTCTACTGGGTGAGCGCGCGACCGACTTAGATTATGCTGATGATATCGCCTTACTTGGTGACGATCCGCAGGGTATGCAACTCATTCAGGATCATTTGGCAGTTGAAGCATCTAAGTATGGCATGAGCTTTGCCCCATCAAAGTGTAAAGTACTGCTCAAGGATTGGCTTTCACCTACTCCCGTACTCACTCTCCAAGGTGCACAACTTGAACAGGTAGATAGTTTCGTCTACCTTGGGAGCTGTGTTTCTGCTGACGGCACTAGCAACAAAGAAGTTTCGCTTCGTATCGCTAAAGCTCGATCAGCATTTGTCAATCTGAGGCAATTGTGGCGTAGTCGCGACGTCTCATTCTCACTAAAGGGCCACGTTGACAGCGCATCAGTTCGCTCAGTATTGTTGTATGGGAGCGAGTCCTGACCGATTCGCGTGGAAGATATGCGTCGTCTTTCTGCATTCGATAACGGTTGCTTAAGGAGGATCGCTCGTGTTTGGTGGCAACATCGAGTTAATAGTAATGATGTTCGATGTCGCATCTTGGGGAATGCGAGTATTCCCTCCAACAAACTGGTTTTGTTGCGCCAGTTAAGATGGCTCGGTCATGTCCTACGCATGGCGCCTAAGCGTCTACCGCGTCGCGCTCTATTCGCTCGTCAAGGACCTGGCTGGAAGCGACCGCGTGGTGGTCAGCCTTCCACTTGGCAGCAGCACATGAAATCGCTGACGTCATGTCTAGCCGCTGTTGGATCCGTACGTCTTCCAGGATGGGGACCCAAAGATGAGGAGTGCCAATGGCTTAGCACTCTTGAGAATATGGCCCGCAACCGGAATCAGTGGAAGAATTGTGTACAGTATTGTACTGATTCACATGTTTAATACTATCAACATTGAAAATGACAAAAAAGGGAAAAATCGGCGTGTGACAAACACACTAAAAATGTTTTGTTCTGTTTTTTGTCAAAACGTTCCATTCTTCTTGCGGCATATTAGCTGAAGCGTGTTGCCCACCTTCAACTACCATGCCACGATGATTATGACGCAATAACTGTCTCCTATCCACTGATCTCCATGGCTTTGTTGGCGCTATGTCTAGTTGCTAGACTGTTGAGATTACATACATATATACAAGACTACTCTTGGACGAGTCAATGTACAAAACGCCATTCAGCACTGATATGCCTCATGCTAAGCTCCTTCATCAGTTCTTCCAAGTCAGAACAGTAACAGAAGAATGCAAACTTGTCATAGAATGCGGACAATTTAACACTTCACTTTCCACATACAGCAACGTTAGTGTTTGCAGCAAGTAAGTGCCACTGCTGTATCCAAGATGCCAGCAACTCGGCCGTCTTTAGGCAAACGCAGGTCAAGTACCAAGTCACTTAGCTCAGATTGTCCAATAAGATGTGGGTTAGCAACAACATTAGGTTCAAAGTTTTCACAGATGTCAGAATCGGAAAGTTGCCAATGCGGAGTCACTACTCTTCATCAGTGACATGTTCACTGGAGACACAAGGAATGGGTAAGGTGCCATCACGCGAAACAGGTCGAATAGTTGATGAAAGATCTGGATAATGAATTTCGCTTGTTTCGGTTGGAGATTCCAATGACACTGGTTAAGCAGAAGTCTGTCGTGTGATCCTTCGACTCCCTCCACACCATAGGGATTGCAAAGGGTATCTTACATTTGCACTTGAGTCAGAAGAAGATTGCATGACACACAAACAATATGTGACGCCCACTTCTTATCCTGACTCCCCGTTTCATCCCGAAATATGCGTGGTAGGCAGAATTCAGTAGTGAATAAATGGGTCTACACTGCGACTTTGTAGCAAACTGTCCAAAGAGGTAACAAAAATGATTTCGATCATTTATACAACAGTGTCATTTAGCCATGATCAAGATATCAATTGAGGTAATACAGTTCTCAATCGACCTTCAATATGAGGTGGATACCACGGCCAAGAGGACTTCTTTTCCACAAGTACGGGGAGCCAATGGACCAACCAGAAGCAAACATTCGATGCATACAACACACTGTTTAGTTGAAATGAAAAATAAAAAAGCTCGACGTGATAGAAACACTTGGTGTGTATAATCGTAATGTGCTTCACTTGACACTCCTAGAAATAATCCATCTCATTTCTGTTAGAAAAAATGACGTTACACAGTGTTACTAACAGCTTCGGAGAGAACAGAGTTGGGAAAAGTGTAGCCATTGAGTAGCCAAAAATGTAGTGTTCAAGAAATAAAGTTTGGAAAGGACAAGGCCGCGGTGTAAGCCAATTTGCAGAATGTACCATCGTACATAACATAGATGAATAGTCATGCAGGGCGCCGAACAAATATGAGGCTCATCCCAACGAGTGTTTTAAGATCTATCAGGACGCTGGACCAGCGTCCAAATGCCTGTGACCAGAGGCATATTTTATGGGAGTCCACAAACACATGTGTTGAGCGCCAATTGAGAAGCTCACCATCTGCAAGCTACTACCTATCAGTCAGGAGTGGTACTAACAGGAAGCATCGAATATGAGTGTATCGTTCCGCCTACATATATCGGAAGCGGGATGAGAAAGAAAACAGGATACTACACAAACCGTTGTGACGTTAATTTCAATCTATGATCACATAGGAGTGGATCAATTAAACGAATAGTAAACTAAGGCATGCGCCGAGATATCTACGAAGCTGGAGTACATTGCGGATCGAAATACCAATGCGAAGAATTCCGACGAGAAAGAAAACAAGTTAAGTCCAAGAGCAATTTAGTTGCACATTACCCTCATGATCACGTGTGCGCATAGGTGCATAGATGCACTCATAAATGGACAAATAAGAGTGAGACAAAATAACTGACAGGCATCTATATCAATCAGACAAGAGAGGTGGCAAGCACGACGCATGAAGTTTGTATACATTGATGAACTTCGAAGTCGTGAGCCAGACAACGCAAAATATAGGACAGTCCAGATCCAAGGGAGAAAGGAAGGGAATAAGCGTAATCAAAGAACGATAAGGATGAAGTCATTGGATACAGCGGAACTCTGAGATGGACACAAATCCTAGGAAAGTTGAAAAATTGTTGCAAACCGGGAAGAGATCCGGGCAAGTAGAAAACTGGAGGACCATTGAATCAAATATCGCCAATCAACGGGGCTGTGTGCCTTGACCTGCGCCAAAGTCAAAACTTGAGGGAATCGTCGGCTGAAAAACGTAACCACCGGCTTGTTCGATCATTTTAGATTCTGTGACAAAAATGTTAACACAAGAAAGTGAGTGTGGATCACGGATGATAAAAGGCAGATGCTAACAAGGGTGAGGTCGTTTACGGTGTAACGATTGAGGCTGATGGCTGCAATTGGCTGACGGGTAAACGTCAACATTAAGGAAAAGCTGCCATAGGCACAGAACGATAGAAAAGACGGCAGAGAAATTTATTGTGCCCTAACCCTACCTCAGTAATTAGTAGTGGCGTGGACAGCTCTTCTTGGAGGGACTTAGATCGTGGGACGTGATGCACTCAATTCGGAAAAACAACAACTGTTGTCTGCCTGCATGACTCCTGGCAACACCAACCCTTAAACTGCCCCAACGTTTGACACTCTTCACCGGTTATATTAAGCAACCACTAGAACGATAAACTTGCCAACACCGCGAATACATTAGTTTGATATTCTGTGTTTCTGACACTCATGCAGGAGTGACAACGAGCAAGGTGTTTGATACATCCGACAGGGTGTCACAACAAACGGAGACAGCAGGAAGAGACGGTCAAGTGTAAAAGAGAGGGCACGAACCTTTCTGCTGAATGCACTTTACAGCTGTGCTAATTACTTCTTTCAGTTCGGTTTGCTGTTCAGCCGTCAGGTTACCGATGAGCAAACCGTACCAGGTAGGATCCGTTTGTTCTAATTCCGTCATGACTCGATAAAAAGTCACATATTCATCCATGTCCCGTTCTGATTTGTCTAGCTCTGTTTCGAAAGCTTCTAAAACGGTTTCCTCATCTTCATCGTCGTCGTCATCATCAGCATCGGAATCATCATCCTGCAAATAATGTGAAAAGAGGCGGTCATAATGGGGCAACCGAATAGGATCGCACTGACATGTCAAGTCATCACAACACTCACCCCAGACTCAAGCATTTCCAAATAGGAGGCCCCCTCCTCATCCACCTCATCTTCGTCACTGCCAAGGGCTTTTTCTTCCAAATCATCCTCTTCCTCATCCTCATCTTCCTCGTCCGAATCTAAGTGCGGGATATGAAATACACAGAAGGACAACCGAAATGAATCCAAGGGAAAGCCCAGAAAAGTAGACGTGATCAGCTGAACATAGCTAGGTAAGGAGCGCAGCCATGATGGCTGTTGAAGGGTTCCGAATTATGGACTACAATCAGACAAGTTGCTTTAGGGATATATATGAAATGGTAAGAACATGGCGTGACTGTAGCAAGACAGCAGGATTAAAGAGCTCCAAATGATTGCCAACATGATGCGGAGTAGTGCGGTTGGCTAAGGAATCAAATAAAAATGCAGATATGTGTATGAAAATAGGCACAAGGGAGAATAAGTGAGGGGATAGAAGTGAAAAGTACAGAGAGACAATGAGCGCCCCGTGATCAGCAGGCAGCCGCCATGATGCTCCTCGAGAGGTAGATAGAGACAGAATGCTAAATACATTGAAAGACAAAAGACTGATAAACCGATTTCAAGCTGCAACCCAACGTAGACGTTGAATAACAGTAAAAAGTGAGCTTCAGATACGACACAATTAGCAAACAAAAAAGGAAATTCCGTAGGTCATTGGTGACCCGAACAGAAGATAACACCGGACTGAAGTGTAAAATCGCAAACAACTATGGAAGTGAAAAATAAAAACGGGTGGATAAAATTAATAACAATTACATGGATAAAACAGGGGGTCAAAGACAAGAACAAAAAGAAGGCTTGGCTGGACTGAAAGAAGGTGATAACCCAGGTTTTGATTCTGACTATACATATCAAGTCTCATGACTCTAAGTTAACAAGACGAAAAACTCAGCGCGGGCCAATTAACCTTCATATGTCATTTATATGAAGCCGTAATCCCGCATCTGAACAGACGCAACCTTCGTGAAGCGGATGAGCCATAGAGGAATGTGACTTAACAAACAAAGGTGGTCCAGTTATATTCGACGGGGAGAGAGGCAAGACCCGAAGCCCAGTTAGAAGAACCCGAACACGCCTCCAGATGGCTCAACCGGTGGCCCATTTGATGTAAGCTATGCTTTGCAAATAGCAGTGATTCATTTGAGGTAGCTTAACGTAACGTGTAGTGTGCATTGGCTATGTGCCCGAGTAGCACAGCAATACTGGCCGCCATGCGCGGTCATATACCGTACCCTTGAAAGACAAACTGATATCTCACTACCTCGATGAACAAGGCTTTGAGAACTCACAGCAGCATTTCCGACACAAGCAACGATATCTTCGGTAAGTTGATCACTATATAGGACGCAGCCAAACGACAAGACACCGGTCGAACAACATGGGGCGATTCTACACCAAGTTCGACATTGGTGAAATGGCCCAAGTCCCCATTCGCTGCCTGAAAAGTAGGAAGTCGCGTTGCGCATCAATCCATTCAAAGGCGATCGTATGGCCAGAAAGTGTTATGCTACCAGTGTAACTGGTTGCATGGAAGAATGTTCAAAAACAAACAAGACAGTAATCCATCAATGAAGGAACAGACGTGAGAAGAAAAAGAGGAGTGTAGTAATCGCATATGCCGTGCAGAGAAGAGGAGAGCTGCCCATGGACACACACGACTCAAGAAGTCACTGCGCAGGGACTGCAGTGGAAAAGTATCCGGTCGGCTCCACAAGGTTGACAAGTCTATCGTCATGTGCACTCAAACAAACCAAAGATACCAACAATGAATGCTGCACGGAAGCTACTGGACAGGAACAAATAAATGGCAAATTTGGGATGAAGATCTTAGGTGCTCGTGTCGAACACCGACCCGCCGCTGCGATGAAAAAACTAAACAGTAAATTCCAAAAGGTGATTGGATTAGAATTTCAGAGGAACAAATAGAAATATTAGGTGGATGCCTTTAAGGAAGACCAAATCGAACAGCCACTACACGTCATGGAAATTATTGGACGACCGTTCTATGCCTTCGGAATCATCAGCAATACGCATTCCATCTGAATCTTGTGAGATGAAAACATGAGACTCGACTCTTCCGAGTACGTGATTAAGGTCACGGGGCTAGGAGAAACGGCGACGACCGACAGATGTTAATTAGCGTTGTTCACCCTCCGCTGAGTCACGCAGGGATCAGATGGAAAGCTGATGGTTTCAAAAAGTACGAAACAGCGGTCCGGCGCTTCCTAAACGTACGACGACAGGCTGAATCGGGATAACGTGAATTCGGCTTGTACCATTTAAACCAGCATACTAATTCCTTGGAACAAGGTGCGTTAAATATCAGACTCCCGTTCACGACACTGTACGCTACGATCAACTTAGCACTCATCTGCGATAATTAGGCAGAGAAATCAGGACTGTGACTCGAGCCTAGCGCTCCCGGGATGTTGGTCAAAATTTCTACCCCTAAGCCACGGACAACGCTTGTCACAAGAGTTAGTGACTGCTTGGAGTGAAGCATAGGTCGTGTGAATGGATTGAGACATGCAATCTCAAGCAGGATTGCAATTTAGTTGGAAGTGAAGTACAATCACAATCCGGTCATTTGGATCGTAACTGAAGCAGATACATATTACATGTCGCGCGCCTGCACTACCAAGTTGCGTTGGTGTGAGGTGTCATTGATGCGGGATTTTAAATAACAGAATCTCGCGAATCAACTAATGCCTAGTATCAAGGAACTGAAGTAACTAACCACTAAACTGGAGACTGTTGATTCGTCGTTCATACTAGGATCTACACGTTTATCTTAGATCAAGAAACTACGAGATATGGCTCACAACTGTCATCAGTAGTGTGTTCGCTGTCGTTTTCAAGACGTACTACCAGTCCAAGGTGCGAGTGAGTCTGAGAAACTGATGGGATAAGGTCGACTAAGAAACAAGTTAGTAAAAATCGCAAAGAACCAGTCTCACCGGCACCACCCACATGGTCACATGATAAGTGGCGGTCTTTGGTTGCAAGATGTCCGCAAGTAGTAGATGCTTTGAGTCAAGACAGCAAACAGCAGTTCCTCCCCCACTTTCTCTTTTGTTTATCCACAGGAGTCGTCCCTCCTAATTTGTAGCTGTGTAAAAGTAAAGTCCTACTACGAGGTGCTGAGATAATGCCGTTGTTCCTGATGATCAAATGAGATGTCCATGTTAAGAAGTCGAACATGGACAGTACCGATTGAAGCTCAGAATAATAAATAATAATAAATAAATCGCCAGGTGTACACCGTAACGGCGCTTCGCTGACACGCGACCATCACCAGTCGCGCGTGGGCTGGGTATACCGCGAAGACGCCCGCCCCTACGCGGATTCGAACCGGTGAGCTTATGGTTGCAAACTAGACGCGCATGCCACTCGGCCACCGGCCGACGAACCTCACAAGACTGGCCAGACGTCGTATTCGGACGCGTGCGAAAAGTTTGAGGGCAGTGATGATGAAACTAATAGCTCTGTAGCCATCGTAAGTCAACTTTAACTATTTTTAAAAATAGGCGTGAAGATTAACAACCGCCGGTATTAAGGCACATCCCGTGCGACACAGTGTCTAAAAGTGAGGAAAATTTGTAGTTAAGCAGTGATAGTTGAAGGTTTTCACAGTCAGATACCCTATTGTGCACCGTCATCACTATCACCATTAACAGCAGTACATCAGTCATTTGAGCTGATGCTTCGCTGCCGCAAAACCACGGTGACCTAGGAAAGGAGAGATAATAAAGGAGAGAAGGGGGATTTAGCAGGAAACCTTAATGCCTTAAACAAACACCTAGGGTAAGGTGCCGACACCTTGTCAACAACATATCATCACAAACAACTGGCTATCACACACTAAACAGGCAGTCCAACTACGAGACAGCAACAGACATGCCACTGGTGCCGACTGTGAGTCACGTCCTGTAACCTCTCAAGCCAAGCACAAGACGGGTAACGTGGACTCCAGCCCGGAAGGCGAGACGAACTGACGGCACCCAGTTTAGTCGTCAGTGACCTCATTCCCCACTGCCAAGTCAACGTTTGACCACCTCGAGTCCTGCGCCAACCAACATCTGGTAGAAAAGGCCCTCATCGGTAAGCGGTGATCGGGCATACGTAGTGTGTTCGAAATAACGCAACTTATTCAGTGCTATTTATTGTCCTAAGGAAGTAGCTTGGGTCTCATTGCCTAACACAGGCACACGCACATCATCTATCATGCCATCCGATAGCAGCACCGGTTTGTGTCGTCTTCTAGATACTGGAAAGCGCAAGCGCCTCAAGTGAGCCCAATTGATTCAACTAGAAACACCAGCACTGAATTGCTCTTCAAAATGATCCACCGAGGCTTCAAGTCATAGACTTTGCGATTAAGTCAACTGGAAACTCAAGCGATACTTTCAATAATTCTTCCTCAGGCTTGTATAAGTTTATGCCAAAAAGACCGACAAAAGCAGACACAGCACAAGAACCGGTAAAACGGTCAGTTTATTCACCGTCAACTGAGTGTTTTACCGGTCTTGTGCCGTGTCTGCTTTTGTCGGTCATTCTGGCATATACTTGTACAAACCTGAGGAAGAATTATTGAGAACACATGTTCGCTTGATAACATTGAGTTTTCATCTATCAATGGGATTTGTACTGCTGTAAATCTACTAGTTATGCTTCGCGCCTAGGTCCCGTTAACTGAAGATCTTCTTGCCACTGTGTTGAGTGGTAATGGTCTTCGGGATGATGCGAATAATCCTATTACCAAGTGCAGCTGATTCCTAAGCTCAAGAGGCGAAGCGATCTTCGGACAGCCCAAGTCATGCGGCAGAGGCACCTACAGTTGGTACTCAATTTGAGCAAAGGGTGTATAACAGTAACACAAGTTAAGCTATCAACTGGAAGCGTACTCGAGACAGGGTCCGCTATGATAAATGGATTGTATGTACCTCAAATCGATAGGCAATTGAAAAAAGAGGGAATGCGGTTAAGACAGACTGATAAAGGTGGTTAAGCCCGTTGGTCTGATGCGGAACGCATATTGTGCGGATGGGTTGCGGCAAGTAATCGCAATTGAAACTATTTTTTACTCCTAAGTGAACCATGGTCAGTTGGATCACTGGGACCGTGTCTACCACCTCCTTAATTAAGCGTAATTCATATGTGACATTAGTGTCAGAGAGTGAAAAATCGTTTCATGGCAATAAAAAGAACCAAGAGAAAGGATGCAGTAGGTCAAATCAAATTAAAATAAGTTTTATACACCCATATGGGTGCATTTTTGGCACCATACACTATCACGGCGGGTATCGAATGGCACAGCGTTGATGAAAAGTGTAAATTGGCATAAAACTCGAAGAGAGCGCATTTGCATTCAAACATGCGGTTACGCAACGGTTGCTAAATGCCTAATGAATTGACGAATAAGCGTGACAGATATGGCAGGATGGCGCTGCGATGCGAAGAGGGAATAAAATTTGCATTCTGAGTGCGTAGAAAAAAAACATGCACTATGAACAAAGTGTAGGGAGTGATAGAGGTCAGTTAAAATCATAGGTAGGAAGTTGATGCAGTATAAAAAGGTATGCTAACGATAAAATCAACACAAGATACCTTGCTTAATCCCGAGATTCAGGAAATAAAGTTAGTGAGCGTACAAAAAGGATGAAGTCTCTTTGAAGAAGTCAAGGGAACGCAATAAGGGAACAAGATGACCAAAAGAGAAGAACACATAGTTAAAAACCCTAAGATTAAAGAACGGGGCATGAAAAGCATACTGAGCTTGGGAGCGTAAAAAACAGCCTTCTGTCTTCGTGAAAAGTTTTAAGAACATGTGTGGACCAGCATAAATTGTAAGACAAGAAAAGATCCGAATACTTAAAAGTAGATGAACGAGGTATGCAGTGGTCACTGAGAGCAAAAGAGTGGAGGTATTTGCATGGAGACACAATCTATCGGCATGAGGAGAGAACGCTACATTACAAGGCATAAAAAGGTTAAAGAAGAGGGACCGTGACCTCGACCAAGTCACTAGTTTTTCCAATCATAATTTGAGTTTAAAAAGTTTTCACTGATCGGGGCCCTACACCTTAGAAAGATATCATCAGTATAGCGAATTAGTGGAGAACTTTCGAGGTAGAGGAAAAATAGAAAAGAGAAGATAGGTTCCTGCAAAACATCACAATTTGATGAGTGCAGAATAATACCTGCCACGCAGCTGCGTGAAGTGTGTGATTTATGACACTATCCATGCGTTACCCTACATACATATGGGGGATAACTCCATTATCAGACAAAAAGTCCAGCAGTAACGATCGGACTAAGCTTCTGAGAACGTTGATATAACCGAGGAACAGGAGCTGCATGGTTTTAAATTTCGATTCCAACGTAGGTTAAACCATAATCGAGTCTTGAAAAGGCTAGCGATTAAAAGACAGTAGAAGTGTCAGCGACCTTCAGATGGCCCTGAGGGATGGAGGTAGAGGAAAGGAAAAACACGACGTCGCTTACATGTCGTGTTAAGGTCAACAGAGCTCCCCGTACATGGCATGACATTCCGAGGATAGAACAAGCTTGAAACTGGATCCGATTTGCAAAGTGGGAGAACATAGAAGAAAACGTTTAAATAGTCCACCCGTTTTGCCAGATGTCAGGCACGACGACCGATCATATATGCAGGTACTGTTGAAGTATCATTTCGCAAGACAATAATAATGCTCGGTGTTATCGGAATCCACAGACACGTGTAAAACACCTGTAGAAGGTATTGAAACGGCTAGAACGTGACGACACGGTATTGGTACACGAGTTTGAGCTATGTCGCGTGTTAGTCACACGGTTTCCAGTCGAGTAGGCTAGCAATGTACCTTAGTGCCCGCCAGTCTAAGTTACTGTGTCCCCAGATAGAATCGGAAACTTGGCAAAATCGTTTTGTAAGCAGGAAAGATATTTCAGTGCTTATCCCAATGATGTATGTGAACGACATGTGTGATGACGATTGTGATTTTTACTGTCTGACTTTGGGATGGCGTAGTAGGAAATGAATGAGAACATCGATTAGAAACGATCACGTCTCAGAGGAAATAGGGTATGTCGTGTTCACGACCTAAGGTGGCCAAATTCGGTAATTACGCGACTGTGATCCGAGTCTAGAAGTGTGGTGGATCCAGCTGTCATGTAAAGTGCAGCCCTGCTAATGGCAATGGGACGAGGTAAAAACGAAGAAGAGATTAAGGAAGCTAAAATGGCCGGACGGGAATGTCAACCATTTGGTGATGGGTCCGAGTATAAAAGTGTCCTTGACCGCGCTGTTTGATGAGACCTCCAACAACAAATGTGGCCGATCAAGAGACTATGGGCAGGAATATAGCACGCACCAACTATACTGTGATGCGGTTAAATTCTCGATGCTCTTATGTCATGTCATGGTCTGATCACCCCAGGATTTCAGCCGGATAGATGCAGCATCGGTGAGCGAAATATTTCGAAGTAGGTGATCAAGGCGCACAGGAAGGGCATCAGTAAGCGGATCGGGTTCAACAGAAACTTTAGTGCCAGACCCAGAAGCTATCTTCACAGACTGGAGCTGATAGAATCCAGTAGTGCTCATCCGGTGATCTCACCAGAAATGAGAGAGACTTCACAAACTTAGATGGGTAAAAGTGACGACCAGTTTCCTAATATCTTCAGAGCGAGATGGTCGTTTCTTATTAACACGGAAACATTAACTGTAACGCAGCGCCATGCACGCTTCTGCAGGATCATAACATGACACTCTGCCGCCCCCCACAACAAGTGAGATTTGGAAACCACAAACACCTTGCTGATGTGTAATGTAATTTGCTCAATGATTTTACTACCAGAGGGGATACAGCTACCCATATAGGCCGATTGACTAATCATGAATGAGTACTCTGTGATAGAAATAATGGCGTTTGAGTCAAATCCGGGGACAACAGAAAGGCGGGATTCGCAATGAATGTACTGAATTTATTGCAGCGAACGCAGCATAGTGTTAAAACTGAATTCATAACGTTTTCACAGGCATTGTTTCGAGCACGTTTCTTAGTTGTGATGAAGGTTAAGACCGTACGCATGTTGCCTGCTGAGTGCAGAAATGCAAACTACTCCACGCTCATCAAAACTGAAATCAGCAATGAAGTTTCCGATCTAACGGAACAACGGATGAGCGAGTAATAGTGACAAGGTTTACAGTTTGAGCGAACTCTAACCGGATGCGAAAACTCGAAACATGGAGCATATAGGTGCCCACGGAAAAAACCCAACAGTGCACTTACGCCTGCCTTTGAAATTTATGGAAGGGAAAGGAATGAAAAGCAAGAAGACTACGGTTGCTTTTGAAAAAACTCAATCAGAGCTCCCTTGGCCTTGCTAAGAATCCGTGTGATTTAGAGGTGGATAACACGTGCAGAAAATGGGCAAATTAGTGCCTGGAAAGTAATAGAAATTAAGGATGGAAAGCGGAAACAAACGTACCATCTTCAGCCTGGTTTTGGGCCTTGGTAGCATATGCCCGTTTCAACCCGGCGAAGAGTAAAAGAAGATTGGGCATAAATTCCTTCGAAATAGCTTCCACGGCGGATGGGCGCTGAGCAGCCGGTAGGGATAACAGAAGACATAACCCAAATACACAAAGACGGCGATCGTGCAGCCTGAAAGTAACCAAACAGATGAACATTGAAGCTAAATAGCATTGTTAATCATTGTGGTGTGTCAAACCTCTGAACATATAGGCGTCAACCCACCCGAAGAAACAATCCACGTCATGCAACCACAACTTCAAGAATTCTGATAGAACGGGGATGGAAGTTCCTGGCCAGTGGTGTTCGATCATGATTGGGAGGACGCCAGTAGGTGAGTACAACAGTCCGGCGATGACAACCTATGATGAAAGACAAGTGTTTGGCGATCACGTATCATTTTCTGATGAGTCAGATGGGTGAAATTACACTGGAAAAGCTGATGAATAGAGGCATAACAACAAACGTTATCCCGGGCAAAAGGTTAAGGGTGGAGTTGCGACTGACAAAAAAGCAGTAAAGGCCCGCAGAAACAGGACTAAGCATAAATCCAATGAACAAAATTAACAAGAATCTGGAGAGGAGGACCGCAACTAATGTGTCTGTTATGCCGTACACTTTTTAAGGCTAGTTTCGCAAATATCATTGCTTGTTTGGAAGATGTAAATGCGAGACAAGTGAAAAGAGATTTACTGAAACAGAGCGTACAGTTATGGGTAAAACAACGAGGAAATAGCGGATGTCCAACAAATGGCTGGCCTGTTTTGTAAAACCTAAGAACTTATGCTCGTAGTAACTAATGGAGTTTAGGGACATATACGGTAAATAAATAACCGAGCAAGACATCAATACAACAATCGCCATCATCATGGATCTTTAGAGAGTTGTTCCACTCATGAGTCAAGGGTATCAACCCAATGAAAATATGTAAGCTTATGATGGACCAAAGTAAAAACAGAGGATAGGCCTATGTGTACAACAGTAGATATCTGCTGTTGTCGGTTTCCTTGGGCTTGTAAATCCTGACTCAACTGGTGCGGATGTGTTAACCTACGAAGTGTGTTGAGGACACTGCCAAAACCGATCCCTAAGGGAGTGTTTTTAGGTGTGCGTGATCTCCATGCACTGACGAGGTGACACTGTTTAGTGTAGAAATAGCAAAACACGGAATTGATGACCGGTCAAGTCAATAAGGAGAATCCGGCGCGTCGGGTATCAGTTCGATAGCAAAGGAACGGAAACAGATGTCAGTACTTTCCAAATTGGATTTGGGGTGCCAGTGGTGAGAGGAGTAACACCCAACCCTATCCGCAACAGCACTTGATTTTAACACAAATCATGTGACGCTGCGCAATGAACGGAAGCTAGCGACGAAGAAAGTGACTGAAAAGTGGTCAGGGACAGGATTGACTTCAACCCGATGGAAAGAAACAGTAAGATCCCTGAAATACCTGAATACACATTACACGCAGTTCGGTGGATGAAATCGGACGAGTGAGACGTGTCAGTGCCAATTCAATGAACTTGGGCGCATATGAATCAATCTGACCACGGAAATCCAACAGAAGCACCTCAAGGAGTTTAGCGGCGTGCATTTGGACAGTTTCACTATGTTCATCGTCCTGTATAATCTGAAACGGGAAGTAACCAGCGACATAGAAATTATTTAACTTCAGCGTCACGAAAGGAGACTCAATGTTTAAAAAACGGGTGTAAACATCGGCCGAGAGAACTCTGAAGAAGGGAATTATAATGAACACTAACTAGAATATCGTGGAGTGGGAAGCAGATATGACAGGTTCGTCGTAAGCATTCCGAAAGGAACTAACCTGGGAACACATGGCGAACACAGCATCCACGCGTTTCGGATCGGAAATGAACATCGGTTGATCGACACTGATGTAATTGTGCAAACAAGGCATCATTTCTAGGGGAAAAGGAAAGTAGGCAAATAATTCGAATCGGGAAATGGTTTCAGTGAGTCAATAGGTAAAATATATTACCAGAGAAGCAGTCCCCTGAGTCTTTTTGAAAGACAACGTAAAGCTGATCGAACATTTGCCACATGAGTGGAGATATCTTTGACGAAGTGAGCGAGAAAAGCAAACTGAGCGCCTCCTCATAAAATATGGACAACTCCCGGTCGAATATAGTTTGTATTTGCTGGACAACTATAGGCTGTAGTTCCTGGACGAGACCATTATGCTCTTCGGCGATCTGCAGCATGGATTCCATATTGTCCAGTACACTTGTGGCAACGACTGAGCGATATTCGAAAGCATCTTCGGAGTCGCCACGTTCGTCTGCAAACCCGTTCTCACCTGAATGCACCAACTGCATAAAAGTAAAACACTGCAAAGGAAAATAGAAAGAGGCGTTGATCTTTTTTCAGTAGACATGGAACCATCAAAACTAAGAAAGTCAAAGCACAGTTGTCGTAAAAAATGTCAACACACAGTGCAATCAATGATTTCTTCATAGAGCGTGGTACTACCGGGCAGTCTAGAAAGATACAAAGCTGCATGATTGGGGCGTTGTGTGGAACAGACGAAAACACAGCATTGAGGCTATGTTGGGAGAATGGAGGATGCGAGCGAGAAACCAAGAGCTTAAAGATGAAGGAAACTGACCAGGTTTTGCATCACTTCGACCGCGATTGGAGGAATTTCTTTTTCAAATGAGAGCATTAGACGCTCTATAACCTGATTCAGATCATCGAATTCAGTTTCACGAAGGAGCTTGAGGAGTTCTGAAAAAGGAAATAACCCGGAAGCGTGTTTGCTTAAACAAAAGGCAAGTGTACAGAAAAACGAAAAGTAGACAGAGAATAACGTAAAAAATAAGACTGTCACATAGAATTAAGAATACATAAGTGAACCAGAAGGATGAGGGGACGTCGACACATTTAGACAAATAAATGGAGTATATTTACCGACAAACGGTACACGACCACTGAATGGGAGCGATTATTTGTACACATAGGTAGAGTTGTGATTTCCGTGCCTTAAAAATTATTAATAAAAAGTTAAAAATTGGGATCATGACTTTTCTTGCAGATCAGCGATGTGGTCGCTCACAGTGGATTCAGTCAGTAGGAATAGTTGCAGCACTGTTTTCAAATTCGCTGCGTAGCGAAACTCGGTAGGTCGTACAAGCACAAGTTTCATCATCACATGGGTAACGCAAAAGAAAGGATTAGTTGAGGGTATCATTCTAGCTGTTCATGTGTTGTTTACGCTAGATTCCGTTAGTGTTTCTGGAGATTTCATAATCCAAGTGTCGATAAACACATTCAGTGGAATGAGGAACGTCTGTATAGATATTCGGAAGGTGGCAAGGTTTACACTAGCGCGTACCCGTAATGGTAATTGGTTCCACAGATTTGTATATCTCACTAAGAAGAAGGTCGATCGGATTTAATGACTTGTAAACTGTGAGGGTAACAGGTAGCCGCCGTTAAGAGTAACACAGATAGCGGTTTTCCACAGTCAAGGTGGGGTACTGTCTGTGAAGACCAGTGTATTTATAATGTTGAAGAGGATACTGTTCTTCAATCGTCCGAGCCAAATGGGAAAAAGTCAGAGGTGACAACAACGAAGATAGCAACTCAGGTCTGAAGAGTGCCCCATGGCAAGCATAGTAAATAATTGATGGACATTCTCCAGAGCTATTCTGTCTTTTGTATTTGGCTGCGAATAACAGCAAAGTACCTCACAGTAGGTCTTGCGATAATTTTGAGCAACTCAGGTCGGCTTTCATGCATGGATACAGTTCCAGTGACTTAGCAGAGAACATTGCGACGAGACTGGTTTGCCTATCTTAACGATCCATTGAGCTATGTTAGGTGGTGCTTTTACAACTTCAAAGCCACGCATATCAGGTTGGGAAATGGTGAAAAGCTACATCAACTCAGTCTCTCGGCACTCCAGCCTGGAGTTGGATTGAAATTTGCTCCATACTCAACCAAACGGATTCTCTGTAGCCCATAGTCAAAACTCCGCTACCTTGCGGTCAGGTTCTCGAACCAAAGGCTTGGGTTGGGAACCCTAATCCTCCTCCACTCTAAGCCTGGGCACACTGGTAGTATCCAGTCCATACAACACGATGATCTCTTCAAAGAATTGCATGATGCTCTGGCTGTCGCAAAGGATAATCAAAGGCGTCCCATCTGTTGCATCGAGCAGAATGGATGGGGGTGAGGATGCTATCGCTCAGATATTCTCGCCTTAGTATTCCCCAGTATAAGTGTCTTCATCCTTATCGTCCCGTGTGCTAAGTTCATTTTTACCCCTCCTTTGTTCGACCCCGAATTCTTGGTACTCCCCCACCTTGCTTCAATAGTCGCTTGTCTCCTAGTTTCAACTCACACGCAATCGTAGGGTGTTAATCCGGACCGGTCAAAGAGTCAATGTATAACTAAGCGGACAAAGTCAGTTTATCCAGATCTACATGGAGTCCACGATACTCTCTAAGACTGGCATGCACTTGCATGAACACTAGAGACACTAACGATCAACAGCTAATGTTCATCGGAAATCTGCCTGCAAGAATCGGGCTCTGTATTCACACTGCGACCTCCCCTCTGTAGGTGACTCCGGCGGCACTTTCTCATTCCACCTGTCCGTAGATGAGGTAGGTTCGAATGCTGGTCAAGACACTGCGCGCATTGCTTTGAGTTCAATGGCTGAAGCTTCCCGAATCGATCGGATCCCAAGCAACAGAAGGATGTGCGCTGTCAGATAAACTAGATCGTTCAAAGCGTTAAAGTCGAGCGGGAACAAACGGTGCCCCTTGGTCATTGTTGCATACGCGCCCACAAACGGTGGCACGGACTCGGTGAAAATGAATTCAATCACCAACTGAAGGAGCTATTTGTACGCAATAAAAGTACGGATACTATGGTATTAAAGGCCCAAGTCGGAAAATTATCCTCTAATGAGCTTCACCTGGGGGACCAACATGTTGTAGGCTCCTGTAATGATAACGGTGAAAGGTTGTTACATCTGTGTGATAATGCTCATCTCTTTCTCGATACCATTAACATTCGATAAACACTTGCAGAAGAGTGACTTGGCGTCCACCAGCCATGGACGCAAAGCAGTCACATCGCGATCAGTTGAGGATGAAGAGGTCGTGTCCAAAACTATCGATATAGTTGGAGCACGAGCGTAGACTCTGATCGTGCCCTTGTGTGAGCCGATCTTCGGGTGTGTTTCGGTGGATATCGGCAACGACAGTGTGAGCGCATAGATACCGGGTAACTGGCGAAGCCAGTGGTTCTGAATGCGTATCAAAGTACGCTGGCATCCGGACTGAATAAGCCCCCACTGAACACAGCTGAAGATCACTGGTCGCATATTCGCCAGACGTTACTATTAACAGGCATGTCTTCATGGGGCGAATCAAATTGCCAACCTGAACATTCGGTTTGTACGCAGTTTCTGGAACATCTCGATGCTCGTCGACACATTCCGGTTGGAAGCGGAAACAATGAGACTCGCAAAAATCTACGGGCAAAACTATGTGCTAGATTCGAGACAGACCGCGAAGCTTAGTGGTATCATCGTGCGTCCGAGATGGAAACAGCTGCTGCCCTCTGTAACCACCGAAAGTTATTCCGTCTGATACGGGAGACGGGCCGCAGGAGACCTGGTGTTAGAGAGACCATACGAGACGAAGGTGGACAGCCGATCAACAGCCTGTCAAAACTCTTGGAGTGTTGTGACAAGCACTTCGCAAAGCAGTTTAATCAACCTGTCATCACCTTCTTTTTCGAGCATTGACTCCCCATCTCCCTGGGCAATCTCCTTGGATGGCTCTCACGCGCAGAAATCGGACGTAAGATTAGGCTGTTGAAATTGAATAAGACACACAGATAGACTTATTCCAGCAATCTTCAAATTCGAGTGACTCTATTGTAGATGATTTGCACAATTTACTAGTGTAACTGTTGGAGCAGGAGACTATCCCAGCAGATTGAAGCCGCTCCAATATAAATCCAATTTGTCAAAGAGACTCACAGTCGGAATGTGGCAGAGAAACCAGTCTGATCTCAAATGCCTTTAAAGTGCTTGTGTCTGTCGTTCTCCACAGACTGATTAGTGCACGTGTAAGTCATATACATAAGGAGCAAGCCGGGTTTCATCGAAATCAAGGCTGCGTTGACCACATCCTCACATTACGTCAATCGTTGGAGCACCGCCGCAGTTATTGGCGATTCACCGTAGTCGTGTTCCTCGACATCAAAGATGCATTCAATTCACAGTATGGCGTGAATAGTTCAGGAAAAAGATGGGTTTATAGCAGTGTCGCCGCCCTTCAATAACTCCAGCGGTATGAGACAAGGTTGTCCACTGTCACGTTTCCTCTTTAACTTAGCCATTGAAGAAGTCATGGAAAAAGCGTTCGCTGGACACGATCTGCAAGGTGTGGAGCTGCCTCCTGCTGAATGACTTCTTGACCTGGAGTATGCTGACGACATTGTCCTAATCTGTGACAGCTCTGAGATGTGCCAAGCAGCACTGAACAGATTAGCACTGGCTGTCCATCGTGTTGCGCATTGCTTTGCTCTCTCGAAATGCAAAATCTTCCAAAATTGGCAGGACCCCCCTGCGCTGATCCTTGATGGTGATAAGATAGAAGTCGTTCAGGAATTCAAGTATCGCGGCAGCTATATTAACAACTGTGGAATATACGATGAGATCAGGATCTGTGGCGTCGGCGAGACACCACACTCCCCCCCGAAGAGCAGAGTTTACAATGCAGCCATCCGTTCAACCCTTCTTTATGATTGCGAAACCAGGTCGGCGAATCGACAGACATAAAGAGGCCTGTTACGTTTGATGGAAGATAAGGTCACGAACCGTGTAGCAAAAGCCAGAGGTGCTTTTGTCAATTATCGACACCTGTGGCGCCGGCGCGACATCACTATCGCTGAGTGGGTAAGAGCTTACAACGCAGCCGTCTGTTCAACCCTTCTATATGGTTGTGAAACCTGGTCCATCAGGTCGACAGACATAAGGGGGCTCGTCACATTCGGTCATCGCTGCCTTCGCAGCTTAGCTGATGTCAGGTGGTAACACCATGTGAGCAGTGAGCGTGTTCGGTGTCGGGAAAGGTGCAGTGAAAGCGAGTGAACCGTTCAGCACCGATAATTTACGCACCAGGCTCCGATAGCTTGGCTACGTCTTGCGCACGCCAGCACACCGACCAGTGCGTTGTACGTTGTTTGCGCGACCAAGGTATGGATGAAAGAAGAGGGGAGGACAAGTGGTGAATTGGTGAAGAGGAATGAAAACTATTACTTCGAAGTAGGCGTCGGCTGATGTCTCTCAACTGAACGGGCTTGGGTTCGATGAACACGTTTGGTTGGATAAAACTGTAAATGTGGCGAATAACCGACCTCAGTGACGTTGGTGGTGTTCCTTTGTTCCCTCTATTGTCGCCTAGCTTTTCTCTTGAGTCACGATCTCACACCAAGCATCGTAGGATACTTTGCATTACATCGAAGTGTTTGTATGTGCTGTAGCGTTTCGTATCTTTGTTTTTCACATATTTTACCGTTTGTATCACCGTACAGTAGCTGAAGTGTGTTTCTCACCTTCACTTAGCGTGTAATGATGATGGTAGAGTACATGTTCAGAGAAAGTTCGAATCCTGAACAGAGTCAGGGGTTGGATCACATTATCAGCAAGTGACAGAGCCTTCTGGGATGCGGTATATGCATGAAGTAACTTACTTACTTTAGTT